TTTATCCTCGGCCGGGCGTGGTGGTGCATGCCTTTAATCCCGGCACTTGGGAGGCAGAGACAGGCAGATCTCTGTGAGTTCAAGGCCAGCCTGGTCTACATACTGAGTTCCAGGACAGCTGGGGCTACAAGGAGACCTTGTCTCAAAAGGACAGAAAAAAAAAAAAAAGTATTTATGTTGTGCTGGGACCGGAGTGGGTTTGCTGTCTGTGGGCAACAGAACCCTCAGGGTGAAAGAAGCCAAGCAAAATTTCACAGGGAGAAAACACAGAAGAAAGTGTTTCTGTGAAGGGTACACGGGCCCACATGGGGCTCGCTTTCTGACTCCAGAGAAGTTGTGCAAAAATGGATATCAAAGAAAATCCATCCCTGAGCATAGACCAGCCTTCTGGAAGACTCCATTGGCACTAATCAGTACAAATGTTGGGCCAACTCTCACAGCTCTTCAAGACCTTCTGATTCACTTAACCAGATGGCCTATGAGAACCATGCTCTTCTCAGGAAAGGGTGTTCTGTTTTTTAAATCACTTATGAATTTTGTGAATTTCATACATTATATAACAGAACTCTGGATGCTGACTGGACAGTTAGCCTGACAAAATGAGTGAGATAGAGTTTTAGTGAAGATCCTGTCTCAAAAAAGAAGGTGGTGAGCAATGAAGGACGGCACCAGGGTTGAACCCTGGCCTCCACATCTATGCACATTCACAAACCTGTATGTACTCTCACATACATGCTCACACACATACTAAACACCTAAGCACAAACACACTAAAATAGAAGATAAAATATATTTTATCAAGAAGAAATATGTTGGAGGAGAAAATAGCAAAGTAATAGGAACCCTGGCTTGTGTATGAGATTGGTAAGTATCTTCTACCAGAAGTGGGGAAACGGCCTCCATGGACTCTCCAGAGAGAACTGTGCACTCTGTCCTCAACCTGTGTGCAGGCTGGTGAGGACGATGATGGCCCTAGGTTGAAGCATGTGCAACTATAGGAGGGCCAGAGTAAGACAATGGCTTCCTCACATCAGTCACCCCAGAAATCCAGAAAGACTGCACTGCAGGTCCACACCCACACCCCATCTCCATTGGTTATTCCACAGCATCTCGTCACCCAGTAACAGGCAGATGTCTAGAGATGGAGATGCTTCTAACATCCAAAAACTACACAGAAATAACCAGCACTCATGGGAAAGCGCAAATATGCAAGGGCAGGACACAAATGAAAGGTACTTGCCTGTGGAAGGGGCAGTGATGTGAAAGGGACCACCCTGGGATCTGTGTGAACCTCTACACTCTGGAATCTTCTAAGTCAGCTCATGGGTATTGCTCCCAGTGTGAGGATCCAATCTTAGCAAACTCATAAGCCCTTTCTCTGTACAGACTTAAGTCCTATCTTAGCCAACTCCTGAGCTTAAGTGGTAAGCAGCACCACATCTCAGTACTTGCCTGTGGAAGGGGCAGTGATGTGAAAGGGACCACCCTGGGATCTGTGTGAACCTCTACACTCTGGAATCTTCTAAGTCAGCTCATGGGTATTGCTCCCAGTGTGGGGATCCAATCTTAGCAAACTCATCAGCCCTATCTCTGCACAGACTTAAGCCCTATCTTAGCCAACTCCTGAGCTTAAGTGGTAAGCAGCACCACATCTCGTTTAGTTGCCCAGAGGCTATACCCTCGACCATCCGTTTGCCCTTGCTGTTATCTCTTAAGACAACATGCATCAGTCCTCAATTGTTTCCCAGACAAGTCTTCAGTTCTGTCTCTTCTCTCTTCCCTGACTGCATTCTAACAGCAACCACCCACTATGCTTATTGTACTTTATCTCAGATTACCTCCAGGTCCTCACCTACCTGAACAATCTCATGAGCAAAAAAATCCTTTCAAAGGATAAATTGGAATGTGATGCTTCTTTTTAAAAATCCCTTTACTTCACTTTTCAACCACACCAAACAAAGCCACAGGTCCTTCCCAGGGCTGTACACAGCCTATCTCCACTGTCTGCGTGGCCTCATCTTTGACCAGGTAGATGCCCTGACCCTCCTGCTAGTCATAGTCAACCCAAGGATTTCCTTTATCTAAGATGCATTCACATACTTCGTGGCCTTGCCATACCTTCATCCCAGGGTCCATCTCTCTTCAGAAGCCACCTCTTCTGTTAGGGCTGCAGTGTCACCTACATGAGGTTTCCTGTACTCTCATGGTCCCCAAATCTATTCCTAGCACTCTCTCACTGCTACATGAATTCCTTATTTGTTGCTTTATTGCCCATCCCTATAAAATTGTCTGATTCCATGATTTCAAAGGAAATGGCATGGTGGTTTC